GGTGAGAACTAATGAATATATGGAATGACATTCAACAATGCACACTCAACGGAAAATTCGTCGCGTAGTTACTAACGCAAAATTCCGTGAGACGCTTGACGGTTCTTTCGTCAGATATGCACCGATCCTTAAGACACTAATGGTTAGTTGCACATACATCCATTAGGGTTTAATGACGCCTTTAAGCTCTAATGCATATCAAATATCTATGGGTAATGTCGCTTTAAACTGATGACAATTTTGATTGACGTTTGTGATACTGGCTAAAAAATTAACTTCCTGTGGTAAGAGTAATTGGACTGTACTAACATTGTCAACGGATCTTTACACTTAGACTTATGTTTATATTTTCTTTTCTGATTTATTTATTTTTCCAGCTTTTCACACTTGAGTGAATGTAGCTTTAGCAGAGGTAAATGTACAACAGACGCTGGAATTGCACTTCTGAGGCATATCTATGATGCTTGGGAGAATAAACAAGATGCTATTGGCATTTTTTGTGATCTATCAAAAGCATTCGACTGCGTTTGTCATGAAACACTGTTGGGGAAATTAGAACATTATGGTGTGACGAAAAATTCACTTCATCTAATAAGATCATATCTTTCTGCTAGAATTCAAAAGGTAGTAATCAATGAAGCGAAATCTGCAGGGGCACCAGTTACTATGGGCGTACCTCAGGGATCGATATTAGGACCATTGCTTTTTCTAATTTATATAAATGATCTTCCTCACTTTACGAAGAATTTGTGCGAGACAGTATTATTTGCAGATGACACCTCTTTACTGTTTAAAGTTGAGAGGGGTAATGATTGTTTTGACGATGTAAATAATGCTCTCGACAATGTTCTACAGTGGTTTGATAATAATAATTTAAAGCTCAATTCAAATAAAACGAAATGCATAAAGTTTGCATTACCTAATGTGAGGCATGTCAGTACACTTATAAATGTAAATAGTGAAAAAGTTGAGTTAGTAGAATCGACAAAGTTCCTTGGTATTACACTAGATTCCCGACTGCAATGGGATCCTCATATTGATAGCTTGTCAAGTAGACTGAGTTCTGCAGCTTTTGCTGTTAAGAAAATTAGACTCTTGACAAATGTTGAAACGGCAAGATTGGTATATTTTAGTTATTTTCATAGTGTAATGACGTATGGTATATTGTTATGGGGTTCTGCGGCTAGCATTCAGGATGTTTTTATTTTACAAAAGAGAGCTGTCCGTGCTATATATAATTTACGGTCTAGGGAATCTCTCAGAGAACTATTTAAAGAAATAAATATTCTGACTGTTGCCTCTCAATACATCTATGAGAATATTATGTACACAAGAAAACATTACGATTCCTTCACAAAAAAAAGTAGTGTTCATAATCTTAACACAAGAAATAAAGATAAACTTGCCGTTCCAAGCTTCAGACTTCAAAAAACCAGAGGATCATTTCTGGGTAAATGTATTGCTATGTTCAATAAAGTTCCACAAAATGTAATCGACCTACCCATAAATAAATTTCAGATTCATGTAAAGAATATACTTATGAGTAAAGGCTATTATAAAGTTGATGATTACTTTAAGGATCGCAATGCATGGAATTAATAGCCTTCGCTTTGTTCTATAAAGACTAATTATATGTTCAACTTATGTCCTACAGACTTTGAAAGTTGTATTTACTATTGTGATAAATTGATAATACATATTATTTTGGTAATGACATGATTTATGTAAATGTCATTACTTATGATAAAAAGTTGATAAGTTTCTTTCGCTTGTTCTTCTTGTCAGCTAAAAGACGTCCTGAACAAGTGGTAGGGGAAAAAAGTCTTTTTTGGACGATTCAAAAGTGCTTGTAACAGCCTACTTGAATAAAGATATTTTCATTTCATTTCATTTCATTTCATATAGTCACAGTAGGTTTTTTTATATACTATGATTAGAGTATATAAAAAAACCTACTGTATAACTTTTGGTGAAAAGAAATAAATTATATTATTATTTATAGTAAAGATACTAGGACCAAATCAAGACAAAACAGGTATTTACTATAGTAATTTGGTTATAATTGTTGTTTGATAATATACGAATCGTTAAGTAAATGAAACGATATGTTCGTTGATGTGTGTTATAAAAATAACTTTATGTATATATAGCCTTCCGCCAGCGGCGTCGCCCGCGTGGACCTTAGGAAACTGTTCAGTGCAAAAAAGTTGCCTATTTATTAATTCATTCTCAGAAGTATCCATATACCAAAATTTATCAAAATCTGTTCAGTGGTTTTTGCGTGAAGAAGTAACAAACTTTTGCCTTTGTAATATCTAGTTCGCAAAATTAGAATTAGTCCCTTCTTACGGTATGATAATACCAAACAAAAAACGGAGAAAACAATATTTCTTGACATTTATTTAATAAAAAACAAGTTATCATAAACCTTCCTAATCTGGATGACTGCTCTTCCAACTGAATTACCAGTTACCTTGGTGAAACTCGAATTCTTTAAGAACTTGTAGAAGAGTGAGAATATTTAATGTTATGTTATGCACATAAACTGTAGTAATAAATATCTTATTATTTTTTTTTATAAATATAATGTGTTCTTTTTATTATGTTTATTCATTTATCTCGGGGCACTTCTTGCTTCGGAAAGCCCGTTAAGCCGTCGGTCCCGACTGTATTTGTAGTTGTTAATACACTCCAATCCGCATTGTACCAGTGTGGAAGGTCAAGGCCCATCCTTCTTAATCATCCATAAGGAAAGCCTGAGCCCAAAGGCTCTTCAGGCACTGCCGTCAGTAAGCCTCCTTAGGCTGATGCTGATGACGATAAGTTCATTTACGTTTAAAAACAAGCAAGATAATATGATTATTGTTACCTGTTTTATGCGATTAAACTTTTTTAATCAGTATTAAATTGTGTGCATGTTGACTGGAACAGCTAATTATGCTTACTCTTATGCTAAATATAAATTTGGTTTTGTATTCAAATTTTATAAAAGGAAAATAACAAAAGAAATATTGCATCATATAAATTGTTCTGTTTTTTTTTTATTTTTAGTTAAAAAAGATAGATTATAATTTCACAAATTAATCCATTCCTTATTATCAATTCCAGGTTGGGTGGGGGTGCCTATCATAATAGTGATGTGTGCCGTAGCAGCTTTCAGTGGTAAACGCCTGGGCGACTGCTGGTCCATGATCGAGGCGAGAAACCCTGATATGAGGAGTAGGAAGAGGAACCCGTACGCTATCATCGCCGATCAGGCCTTGGGCAAGACCTGGAGGTAGGGTTAATCAGGGTGTTCAAATGAAAAATACTGTCTAAATTGAGCCGACATGTTCAGTATTAATCTTTTTTAATTAACTTCAAAAAGGGGAGTGTATTAATTTGAGTTTTTAACCTTATTAGACTATAAATACAAGAATTTCGTATCTTGTAGTTTGAAAAGAAAAAGAAAAATGTTGTGAATGTTCTGACTTATTTGCTTTGAAAGAATTAAAACCGTCTTCGAACTTTAACGATAATCTTAAAAAAAATCTAATTTTGGACGTTGGAATTAACAATAAGCCGATGACGATAATTGATAGAGCTGTTTACTAGCACAACAGTGTCGATGGTGATGACCTTAAAACTGTTTGGTTCGTCAGTAATATACTTGCTGCACTGCTATTCTGGTACAGTTAAACCTACAAAGGTTAAGTTAAGTAAAACCTTTATTACCTATTGAAGTCGGTTTTATTTGATCAAGCCTCTAAACCTTAGACATTGTTGTGTTCGACGCTGTATTTTTAACAGAATGACAAAGTACATTTTAGTGCAAGTGCTCTCGCTTCTAGTGCCGATCATGTGTAATTGTTGAGGCGAAGCAACTTTGGCAATAACAGGTCACCTGATTACGGGACCAAATTATCGTAATTATTTGACAACTTGCGTAACTGAGTGCGCCGGTTTTCAGGTGCTGCCCTATCATAGTTACTGGGTATGTTCCCGGCCGAATCAGTTTAGAAAATGGACTTTTAGTATCTCAGATACTCCATGATACTGGGGCTTTATATATATAATTTGAAACAAATATTGGACAACAACATATATTATCATTGGTTCCGATTAAATCAACAGTTATTAATTCTCCCCAAACTGTACTGCTACTGCAACTGTTAAGACTCATTTTCCCAATAAGGTGTATAAATAAACTGATAGTGATGAATTGATATAACACTATATTTTCCAGCGTGATAGTGTCGATGGCGGTGACAGTAACACTTTTTGGTGCATCCGTGGTGTACCTGCTGTTAGCAGCTCAGATCATAGAGCAGGTGTTCTCGCTTCTAGTGCCGATTACACTCTGCACTTGGTATCTGATCGTCGCCAGTGCAATGACACCGCTCATGCTCTTCGGTACACCCAAGGATTTCTCGTGAGTAATTTCTTTAGATTTTTAATGACGATATTATAGGCTATAAAGAGCAATGAACAAGGGTTGAACGTCGATGAAGTGAAAAACGCATGTAACGATCCTAGAACAGAAAAGTAATGACTCCCATGTATTGGTGTTTCGCTTATTCCGCAAAAGAGGTGTAATGAAGTCTTTTTATGAAAATTTCTGTATAACAGAAATACAGAGATTACAGAGATTCTATTAATTTTAATGTGTATCATACTAATTACCGACGATCCAGTCTCAATGGATTTAAAAATTTATGCTCCTGAAATTCTGTAACATTAATATTAGTACAACTTGAAGGTTCTAAGTATTGATGTATTCACCTAAAATTAATTAAAATGAAACACATATTTATGTTTTCACTATACATCATTAAAGATGATTACGAGGTGAACTCGAATATCATCGAAATTAGAAATAGTTTTTTGATGTCTGTATTTTTTTTTTAATTTATTTTTATTCAAAAATATGAGTTCTTTGTCTCATTTTTTATTAAAGCTGTTTTTTGGAAAAGGCCATTTGATTATAGTGATTGACTTCAGATATCTTTTTTATTTTTCAGGTACTTGGGCTTAATTGCTTTTGGGGCAACTGTCGTAGCCTGTATTCTATACTTCATCCAAATGATGAATGACATCCGTCCGTTTGTGTTCCGATGGGGGGTGCACGGGTTCCAAGATTTTTTCTTGGCTTTCGGTACCATTATGTTCGCATTCGGAGGCGCTTCTACTTTCCCCACCATACAAAACGACATGACTGATAAGAAAGGATTCAGCCAGAGCTTGCAATATAGTTTCGCTGGTGAGTTTGATCGCACTTTCAAGGATTTCTTCTTGTTTTTACCCGACTTCGGCGAAGCGAAAAAAAGGGTTATGATTTTGGCCGGTATGTATGTAAGAATGTTCATCAGTTCCCTTATAACCTCGGATCTACTCATCGTAACTGGACAAATGAGGTATCATTAGATGCGTCTTAGTTGTCCACGTGCTATAGGCTCTGTGATGTTACATTAAATTGGCATCAGCGCCATGTAGAGAGCAAAAAGTAAGAAACAAAAAAATATATTATTCAATCATTCCCTGTGGTGTTAAAATTAATTAAATGTAAAAATGAGTTCAAAAATTGCTATAAAATAACGAATCATGTTAACTTGATTGACCTGTCACCTGTTTTTTTTTTTAAAGATTATGTCTACCTACCATTAGTGCAAATTGGTTTCTGCATAAAATTGAATAATATCTAAGCATCTTTTCATCTGGAAGGACATTCGTAATTTGTAAATAATGTTTTGAGGTTATATCAGCTGTCAAAACTCGAGATAATTGTTAAACTACTTCAAAAATTAACGCATTCAAATAAAAATCTTTTTATAGTTTGACTCGTAAATGTGGAAATAAATAAAGATGTAATTGTTAATGTGCACTTTTTAACCTTATGACGAAAAATACTTTTTTTTCGTAGTAAATGAAACAAAACGTAGCAACCGTCACTGTACGGTTCGAATCGCATTGGTGTAATGCAGCGAACCGTCATTGTAGGGTTCGAATCGAATAAGGGTAACTTTTGAAAATATTTATAAGCCTCGGAAATTTTTATCCTGACTTTGTTTTAAGACTTTATTACATGATATGAAATAAGTAAAATATAAGCTATATTTTGAGATATATCACATCACTAAACGCGTCAGTAAATTTTTAGGTCATAATTGGATATGATTCTTTCTTGTTTCAAACTTTTATCGGGTTTTAACTCGTGTGTTCATTAATTACGAGACAAACTTTTTACTGAAAAAATTAAATAATATGCTACCACTTTTGCATTTGGGATGTTAACTTTTAGTTTATTTGTATGTCATTTCTCTATTTAAGGCGGATAGGGCGAACCGATGCAGATTTTTCGCAAGTTGAAAAGTTTTCCTGTAAGCCGTAACTGCGTCTATTAATAAAATGTTTGTGTCTTTATTGTGTCCAATCATGCAAAGTGCATTTGCAATAACTTAAAAATTCCTGACCATACCAACATGGATTTGTTCAAAACAGATCCACAAATAGAACCTTGTTGACTTCACTGAGTGATTGTTTGGAGATATTGACTCTGTAGTGGATATAATATACACTGTCTTTAGTAAGGCTTTTGATCGTGTTCCACATAGTATTTGTTAATACGGGTGTACCTCAGAGATCTCATATGGGGCCAATTCTATTCAACATTTTCGTAAATGATATACCAGACTGCCTAGCATTTTCTACACCGTTCATGTACGCAAATGATCTAAATTTTGTAGAAATATAGAAAATTTTGAAGATTATCTCTTATTTCAAAAAGATCTCAATAATATAATGGAATGGTGCAGCGTCAACAATATGGCACTAAATATTAATCAATGTTTTTATATAAGATTTGGTAGAAAGCATAGTTTCATCTCATATGAGTACTCTATAGGTGACATTTTGATCAAAGATCGTAAAAATGCTCGTGACTTGGAAGTGTTATCCGATAAAAAGATAACTTTTATTCCACACATTGAAAATATTACTAATCGGGCTTCGAGGATATTGGGGATTTGTCATGAGAAACACTAAAAATTCGCGCAATTTCAAGAAAACGATATTAATTTTTTATAACTTGTTATATAATTTGTTAAGTTGATTGGAGTACTGTCGTGTAGTTTGGAGACCGCATCACGCAGCACATTGTTTAAGAATAGAAAGGATAAAAAAAATATCTGGCATCTGATGTATTCTTGTGTCATCTCGAAAAAGAAACTGTCTGTATATGATGAACTTGTATATGTTGATGTTGGCTCATTTCAACATCATCGCATTGTCACAGCGTGGAATTCTTAATGACGTGTATTTTGTTTCAAAAATTCTTGGTCATTGTGTGGATTGTTTTCAATTGCTGGATAGAATTAAGTTGCATGTTGTATCTCGATATCGTCGAAAGTCAATAACTCCTCTAAGTGCTCCGTTCCGTAAGACCGTTTTTGGGTCTAATTCACCAGTTGCAAGGTTTTGTATGATAGTAAAGCAATAATATAACAGATAAACATTTCGACTCGACCATCATGATCCGTAAAAAAAAATTATATAAGTGGAATGGCCTTTGAAACAGTTATCAAACAAACCCAAATACAATAGGATAAACTTTAATATTTTTAAACCGTAGTTGAGCATATTGGTGCATGTTGTATTTGCCATTAAGAATTTGTGGCAATTAGATAATAATAGTAAAATAAGTAAATAAATGAGTAAGGAATATTGTAATCAAATGTTGGCAAACCAAAATAAATAAATAAATTACACAATGCCTACAGCGTTACAAAGAGACAAGTTCTCTGCAAGATCGCCAAAGGAGTGGAAATCAAAATCATCCGAGAGCGAGTTCGCAGAAATCCATGTCGCACTCAAAAGAAACTTGCTCTGCAGACTAATATTTCGCATGTTTCAGTGAACAGAATACTGAAATGTGATCTTAAGGTAAGAGGCCTATAGCTGAAGAAAAGTTCCTTTTTTAAACAATCGTTTTTGAGAGTTACGACGCTGTAATTGTCCATTGCTGCTGAGAAGATATGATGCCAAGAAGATACTCTTCACCGACGAGAAAATTTTTACTGTCAAAGAAAAGTTTTTTTTTTTTTTTCAGTATGGACTTGTTCCGTTATACACCAAAGAAAAGTTCAAACGACAAAACAACTGCCAACAAAGTGTCAAGGTGAAAGCCAAGAATTATCAGAGTGACATTTTAGAGCACGTGGTGAAACCCCTGTCTGATATGTTATTTCACAATAAGGATTGGATTTTTCAGCAAGACTCGAGGCCATCCCATAAGGCAAAAAGCACCCCAGCTTGGTTTAAGGAGAATGTGCTGGCCTTCATCGCGGCGGACGAGTGGCCCTCCTCCAGCCACGACCTCAACCCGCTGGATTATTCTTTATGGATTGAATTAGAGCCCAGGGCCTGCCGAAAGTCTCACCAAAACTTGGAGTCACTGAAGCGAAATCTTGTTTGAGAAACAAAGCGAATTTCTCTAGAAAAGATTCGTGCCGCAATTGATGACTGGCCAAATCGTCTAAGGGCGGTCATTTTGAATAAAATATATATTTTATTGTTGATTATTATCTATTTGATGGTTACTGAAAGTTTTTGAAATATAAGTTCATTATTAAAAAATTTACGCAACTTTTATTTCGTTTCAAAATTTATGGACGCGAGGTACATTTTGAACTTATTTTTTTTTATAAGAAAATTCGGTATCTGTTCTTTATTCAAATTATATTTACTTAAGGTTTTATTGAGTTACGCAAATGTAAACGGACAAACGATCATGATTTTTATGAATATCTTGCTGATCATTTTACAATGTTTCTCTATGGTTTTTCCGAAATTATTATTGCTATAATATAGATAACAATTTTTTATTTTATGAATTTCAGCTATCTTGATTCTGTATCTGCCAATTGCGATTGGTGGTTACGCGGTGTATGGTGAAGCAGTAGCTCCGAACGTGGCATCTTCACTATCAGCCACCCCGCTAACACTCGCTGGCAATATACTGATGGCTATCCATCTTGTCACTGCGTTCATTATCATCATAAATCCCGTTTGCCAGGAGATGGAGGAACTTTACAGTGTGCCTAGAGGTAAACTGTTTTACTTTTTTGTGATTGTAACTATATCATTTTCAATGTTCAAGAACTATTTAGGATAAGGATATCCTCTGATATATTATCTAGGAAGGTAATAAACTATTAAAATAAATACTAGAATATGTATTTTTCTGTGACATAATTTAATGTCTGCCGACGTTATTCGATAAGTTTTATTGTTAAAACAAATAACGTTTTATAAGTGGTTTAAGAAACAAATCGATAGACTATACTGTCACCAGCGCATAAAATAATTTATATTATCTTTCTCGAATAATTGTTTACATTAGATGTTTCGTGGTAGCCTAATGTGCTATAGTGCATATCAGGCTACCCTTACTTACATTAAAATAGGGGTTTAAAATCGTATGTGCTTAGGCTTTGAAATCAAAGATTACTATTATATCTATTGTGTAGTACATGTTATACAAGCTGTTCATAATGAAAATAGAATTTCGAAATTGTCTCACAATGGGTGGGCACTAAGTGTGCGTCGACTTAGGTATATAATATAGCGGGTGATAAGAAATTCTGGTAAAGAGTAGGTAAACAATAACATTATGAATGTTGGAAATTTCCAACACATTAGGCATGCAATGTCAACTGATTACAAAAGTAGATGGCGGTAGTTCGCCATTCAATTTTTTTTAACATAGTTAAAATAATTTGAAAGTAGAAAGTCATTTATTTATATTTTATGTTGATACTACATAAATTGTAAAACTGAGTTGAACTTGAAGGCAAATATAAGTTTCTCAATTCATATTTAAATGTTTGAAGGCTCAACAAACAAATTATCCATTTTTAACTTTAATATAAATTACGCACATTTGCACAAAACATTTCATTACAAATGACACCAAATTATGTATATGTTTGACATACAAATAGTCTAGTTCTGCTTAGCGAAACAAATATAGTCTATTGGTATAGATTTCTTTTATTTTATTTTTTAATTATAGAATCGACTGGTTGGCGTATAGTAGTTCGCGTGTCCATTATGCTGGGTATATTGTTCATCGGTGAGAGTATTCCACGATTCTACACGGTGCTCGCGCTAGTGGGAGGTACCACGGTGGCACTGCTTACATTCGTGCTGCCATCATACTGCTACTTACAACTTATCGGACAAAATCAACAGGGTCAAACACCTGTGTAAGTATTATATAATCATTGCAAAGTGTATTCTTATAAAGAACCTCGAAAAATCAATAATTAATTCATCTTTACTAAAATTATAAAGAGGTAAGATTTGATTGTTTGCGGTAAATAGGGTCCAAAACTCATGCACCGATTTAAAAATAAAATTTACGTGAGCGAACTCGCTGGAAAATGCTAGTTAGCAAAGTTAAAGCACTTGGATTGGAATTTTGAAACAACTATGTAAGCTACCATTATACCCAGTAAAAGTGTAAATTCGGACTTTGTTAAAGAACTGTTTTATTCCGTACAAAATGGAAAACTCATGCCCAGCATATTTATTTTCTAACTTTTAACGCTGACTGATATAAAATGCCACATTTTGTGCGGCTGGCCAAGAAAGTGTCTACCTTTGACAATTATTTTTTTGTGAGATCTATATATGGTTAATGCTCTATTATGACGCATTGTTTGTTATCTTGTATGAGACTTACATATTTTGCCACTCTTCGGATAACCTAGATATCTGATATTTGAAGATTCCAAGGCATAGACATTCTATGATCTATGTAATTTGCAAGAGGAAATTGAACTTGTTTTTTCATGACGTCCTAATGAATTTCAACCTGGAAGACTGTACCGTCTTATTCATTAGGCAATAAGATTGCTAAAATTTAATAATTAATTCAAATTATTACATTTAGGCAAACTCCTGGATGGATGAAGGTGGTTTGTTGGGAGGTGATAGCGATTGGCGTCGTTGGAGGGCTGGCCGCGACTTACAGCGCTATCAGCGCTATATTCAGCACCGCCCAAGCGACACCTTGCTATATGCGTTAAAAGATGCAGCGTTATTCGAATAGGATGAATCGAATCGAGTAGTTTGTTACTTATTTTAAGATTTACAAATTATTCTTAAAATATAGAATGTATGATAAAAGTCTAATAATGGAATGTATGGTAAACTAAACTAAGTTATAATTTTATGGAAATATACTGTCGAAGTTTGCGCTATTTATACCATTTTGCACACAAAGCAGTTCTCGCCAAGTGAGAGGCTTCGAGCGCAAACGGTTACCTCCTAATGATAGCAAAGGGTGAATTTATCGGATGGAAATTTTAAGTTTATTACAGTTAGTTAGTTAGTAATTGTTACAGTTAGTCATACTAATCTAATATTACCATTTCAAAATATTATAATTACGATAATGTTTTTAAAGTGTTTTTTTTTTATGTAAAAATATATTTTTTAAATGAATTCGTGTTTTATTTTTAGATTAAATTATATGTTATGCGTACATCAGGTGGCGGATATAGAATAAGTAAGAAACTATAGAGAAATTAACAAACGACCGGAGGCGGAGAGTTGTCAAGTAAAATCTTAAAGTAATTTCATTTACTGGGCACAACGGTTCTCTTTTAGAACATACTCTTTTGGGAGTGTTAAAATTTTTATTTTATTTCATTGAACCTCTATCCTATCGTAACGCTGTGCTCGACAACAAGTTCGAGGCTGTTTTTTACCAGAATGGCATAGCAGATAAACTTTGTCGTTTTTTTACACTAATATTATAAAGTGGAAAACTTTGTTTGAATGTCTGTTTGTAATGAATAGGCTCAAAAACTACAGGACTGGTTTTAAAAATTCTTTCACCTTTCAAAAGCTCCATTATCCACGAGTAACATAGGCTATATTTTATTTTGGAAAAAAATAGGGTTCCGTAAGATATTTGGGTTTTTCGGACACGGTGTAAAAAATCAACCAGAAAAGTTACTTATTTTGTGTACGCTGCCTAAACTATAAAAGTTAAAACCATAAAATGTTCTAATTAATTGTAGATCTTATAAATATCTATCTATGTTGAGTGAAGCAAAACAATCATAATTTTATTTAAAAAATTGAATTTTTATTGGACTACATTTATCCGCATTTATTTTACTCATGCTATAAATCCTAATCAAAATAAATTATTTCATCACTAAGTAGAGTTTATATAGATAATATTTGGTCTTTGAATTATCAAAATTGGACGTTTGGTTTTGAAGTTATGGTTAAATTAAAATATTACGATTTCTGCTGCACGACCCGTTGCGAAGTGGGCGTCACCACGGCGGCGGTGCGCGTGCGGGAGGGGAGAAGTTGAAATTTTGGTGTTTAAAATTGGTAATTTTTACAGGAGTCGTCAGAATCTTACATCTACAGATATCACTAAAATTGACATACCATTTATCTGATGCACAAGTCGAGCACATTGCAGGTGTTCAATAAATCTGAATAATTACCTAAAGGAACTTGTCGTTGCGGTTCCGTACCATGAGTGTTATTAACAGAATGACACTCATGTTATAAAACGGAAAAAGCACATGAAAGAATGCATCAAAAGCAAAAAATCTTTATTAAAAAATAATATAACAATAATATATAAAATAAAAATTTGATTAAACTTGTAAAGCTGCAAGGGTGCTTGGATGCTGTGTTTTTATGACACTGCGTTTTTACAGCATACCAAAGCAAGACAATGCTATGAACGAGTCAATAACAAAACAAACTATCCGGTCCACTATTACGTTGCATCAGATCATCATGCTATGTTCGTGTATCACCCATATAATAATTTTTTATATTGAATTATACGAGACAACATAGATAAGATAATTTCATCAACGAAATATATCGGAGCGTGCTATTTTCGAAGTGTTCCGCCAAATCTTTTCAAAAGTCAATATTGATAGTTCAATCACAGCAGTCTTAGTCGGTGATGGAACTGCTAAACTCTAATGGATCTCATCTCGTAAGCATAATATATGACTTTTATTATTATTAATGAAATCATCTTAATTGTTCGATAATCATTGTTCAATCAGAAGATCACGTCAGCCGACCCCCAGCAGACTACCGATACTGATAAGCTATCAAACAACTTATCTATATTCTCAAAACAATATACAAGTTTAAGCTATTTTAATAATACCGGAAAAGTTCACGGTGTCTCATAACAATTTATCAGGCATGGAAACATTTTTCTAACGTATTTAATACATGCACACACAAGCGATAACAAATCTCGCACACTCGAACCACAATTAGAATATATCTGTACAGAACGGTATCATCTGTTATATCCTATCCTATTCTGTTTGGCCCTTAGCACCGGCATTTGCAAGAGCGAGAAAGCTAGCTGGTGTAAACACGAACGTGGCAACATGCAACTGTCTGATGTATTCCAATCCTGTTTCGCCTTTCCAGGAAGCATAGGTAGGACCACTATAATTTTAAATATCTTCTGAGCATATGATAATAAGAATCGTCTAATACTCGATGAGAGGTACGATTAGGTTTATGAGTGAAGATGTCTTGATAATGATAGTGTTTGAGAGTTGCTTGATATCGTAATCTCAGAGTTAATTTTTAGTTGGGTTATGGAAATGTTATGGATGAAGTTAAAAATTGTTATGTTTAGCAAATAAAATCTTTAATTTCTTTCCGTATTTAATAGGTATTTATTTTATCAACACATATCGATCACGTCGGACCAAAAAGCCCAAATTGGATGGATTACTTACATTTACTTAATGTGCACATACGTAAATGACACGCGAAGAAAAACTGATCAGAGAGCCTTCTATATTTGTCCACAAAATTTTGTTAAAATCAAATCAGCGAAAATCATCTGTACATTAGAGGCAGTGTCAGGTCCTATCTCCGTTGTATTATAAATTTTATCGAAAAAAGGATTTCGTTTCTGGAGAAACAGAATAGGCCTTCTGCTTCGAAATCACTTATGTCGTGATGCCATAGGGGCATTATATATAGGCACATATTTGCCCTTTTACTGTAGTCAGTCTACCGTTTTCTCTTCAAGTTATATAATTATTTTTATATTACCGATAATATTTTAGTTTTAAATACCTCTGAATCATTATATAGTCATTTACAGTCAATCTTTTCATAGAATATGATCTACTTAAAAATTAAAATTAAGCAATATACCTACAAATAATATTAATTCTATAAACGAATAAAACACTATATAACTTGAAACATAAGTAAATTATAACAGATGTAGGTAGACTAATACTGATTGTAAGTTCGTTAGCTGTTCTGTGTCGGCCCTGGCTTTCTTCCAAGGGAACTTATCTCATTAGTGAATTGATTTATCATCGTCCAAAATAATATTGTTGATGATTTTAAGTGGAGTATTAAGTAATGATCCCAAATGGTGTCGGACAAACGATAACGTCTGTGGCCGACACTCGTGACCAGTCGCCGGGACTGACCGCACGACACCAGACCAACCTTTTATCTTGACTTGATCACGTCTTATTTAGGTAAGTTATAATTTTTTCTATCGATTACGTAGATTAAACATGAATGCAACACCATATCGATTCAACCTTTAGTGTGTGATTTTTAAACTATTTACGACTTTTTGTCTTCAAAATAAAATTCTTTTCATTAGATTTTTTATTCGCTTATAACTCTTAAATTGTGATAGTGTATTTGTATGAACGAGCTCAAATTTCCACGTGTATTCCGAGTGCTATTTATTATAAACTACATATATCTACCATTTCTCTTTACAATAAGTTCTTTCATTATTTCGTACTAATGAAGATCTTAATTACTTGAATGAAATGAAATTCTGAAATAATTAAATTCTTAATTACTTATATTTGATAAATGTTTCATTCTATAAGATAAAGTTTATAATGACCCTCATTTATCTGATGATGTATGAGAAGGAATAATTAGTGCACCATTAGTAAAATGCTATTGATAATGGAATTTACTGATCAAGCCTGGATGATAACTTTTTCAGCATTAGATTCTTAAAATGGTCGTGTGCGGACTAGTAAGAGCAGCGTCGAGAATCGGCAGATCAGCCATGGTGTCACATTGCTGCCAGAGAGCTTACGCAAGCGATGCAAAAGGTAAAACCACAATGTAACATACTTAAGTTTAAAACAAAATACCTATAAGCATAATAATAGCATTGCGAATCTCCCTACGTACGTAGGTACATATTAGAGTCCTGCGGCTCTACTAAGTACTCAATTAATATATGGATTGGATTTAATTAAATTCAATTGCTCTTTATATTTCTGCATGTAGTCTCCACTGAGTTTGCGATTGCTATTTAACCAAATTCAGGCGGTGATCCATAGTGATTGAATTTTGATTATTAGGTATGTTAATGTCATTGCTTATGATAAAGAGCTGGTAAGTTTCTTTCACTTGTTCTTCTTGTCAGGTAAAAGACGTCCTGTCAAAGGGGATGGGGAAAAAATATTTTTTTGGGCGATTCAAAAGTGCTTGTAACAAGCTTACTTGAATAAAGATATTTCATTTCAGAATTTTACAAAAATCATGATATAATCTAATATAATATAGATCCATATATCCTAGTAACAGATGACTCTGTTTCGCGTAAAAAAAGTAGCTACCCAGATGTAATATTTGCCATTATATTTATCTAATAATCCTTCTAGTACTGTCTTCTTCTACTGACATGTACAGTACAAGTAGGTAATGGATTACATAAAACTTGATTACAAAAATAATAATATTTCAGTAGTTTTTTTTTGTATTGCGTAACTAGAGTTCAGCTTTAGATAATACAAAATCGAATACAGCTTTTAATTGTTCGAGATAAGACTCAGTATCTTCATGTCAGTCAGCGTAGGTACTTAATTAGATTAGATTTAAGATCAACAAACAACTAAATTTTTAACCTATTATGGTTTTTGTCGATTGCAAAATTAATACAATACACATAACAAAAATTGTTACTTTTAAAAACACGTTGACCTTAATTGCAGTTCATATAAAAATTCAAAATCAAACAATATTGAAACATGATTGATGCATGAAATATAGATTCTACAAAAAAGTTAAACTAATCTTTCGATTGATAAAATAATTCCTACTTTAAAAGTTGATAAAGGTATTGAATCTTTTAACATGTGTTAGCGCTGCCTTGGACACTGCATACATTATTGAATAGTTATATATTTTTATAGAATATCAATGCCGTAGAATTACTCTGCTGGAGAATGTTGAATACTCAAATGTAGACAAATAATTCTACTCTCATCCTAATTCAATTGAAAGATAATTAAAATCATATTTGACTTCAACTTGGTGAAGAAGTTATGTTTATTTTGTTTTCTTTCTCGAATAATATAATTTAAGATTAGCCTTGAAATTTACTTAAACAATCAACATAGAGATATTATGATGACTTGTGTTTAGTATATTGCGCAAGTCGCCCTCTATGATAAGATGTAGCAACGATCAACGTAAATATTACTACGAATTGCGATATAAGGAAGCCATGAAACGCAGTGCGAATGATATCATTATTACTAGCTTTGCGAAAACACATATTTCAAGCATATGCCATGTATTTTCAATGGTATTTTTTTAACATGGTTAATTTACCGCCGTTCTTAGAGATGGAATAAATTTAATGGTGCTATAATAAAATCAGTCGTTTCCATGATAAACAATTATTCAATTAAACAAATAATTTTACAACGGCTTTGATAACTATAGAACTACTAGTTAAGTTTGAGTTTATTCCTCACTTTTTTTCATTATGTAGACTTCATGTTTTTCTGGAGTTATTTCCAGTGTCTAGTACTCGGTTTTTGACTAACAATAGACACTATTTAATAAGTACAATTATCTGTTTACATGATTCCAGGACGATTTTTCACCAAAAAACATGAGTGGGTGTCTGTCAACGACAACATAGGCACCGTCGGCATTTCCAGCTACGCACAGGTAATATTTATGAGTATTCCCTTCTAAGCGTAGTATAAAACAAAGTCACACTGTGTAGTTTCATCTTTGAAACTTTGGATTTAAATGCGTAACATCAATATACAGAGTGATTCTAGGGGAAGCTTTAAATGTAAAATACAGTAAGTACCACGCGGGCGAAGCCGCTGACGAGAAGCTATTAGGTTATACTATAATATCATCCATATAATCGGCAGCAACGGAAAATATTATAGATTTTAAGCACAATGGCGCAGGTATTATTGGGTACCGTTTGCTTATGTGGAGTTTAAGCGTCTTCAGCTAAGGTAGCTTTCCGGATAGCTAACAGAAATTTGTTATCTTAAACTCCTTCATGCTCAGAAGCCCAATTAAGCCGTTCATGTAGCTCTAGTTGTTAACATCTACCAATTCGCACTGAGCCTGCATGGTGGATTCTATCTGTATGTTTCTTTCCATGGACAAACCTGCCCCAGCACGTCGATAACCTCCCCTACAACTGAAATAACTTCTATTTTCAAATCTATATTATTGTATGGAAGCAAATGTATACGTTCTTTTAAGTCAGGTTTCACTGTATTCTAGTAACATAGTTTTGATCGTGATTAACCATTTGAGAGTTATCTGTGAACCACATCAGGCTTCCAGTTTTGCAGGAGTTCTGTTCTACTGAGTATTCCACAGTTATTCCTCCCTGCCTGGTATCTCCACAGAGTAATATCTTACAAAATTACAAAGTGAAGTCATGATATCTGTGATCATACTACGACGTGATTTCATTAAAAAAATCTTAGTTTTCGAGAGTTATTTCAATAAGTAATGACTACTCTACACATTCTATATTATCCTTCTTCGTTCTAAACATAGATCATGATTCTGATTATAATAGAGGTAAATTAAGCAGGCATCCATTTATTTGTTAAGTTTGACATAATAATTTTGTTTATGATGATCTTCAGGACGCACTAGGCGAAGTGGTGTTTGCTCAGCTGCCTGATGTAGGCAAGGAAGTGACGGTGGGGGACGAGTGTGGAGCATTAGAGAGTGTTAAAGCTGCCAGCGAGGTTTATACACCTATTTCCGGCACTGTATGTACTTACTTACCTATTGACTAACCTAGTACTCTACATCTATTATTAAACCATATGGATCTGTAGTCATAGTGACATAAAGATATAATGTGACTCCCCTCAAAAATTACAGTAGCGCTTGGTAGCTATTATAATGCGATGATTTTCAAAGACTTTTTCTTTTATTGACTAATTATAAATTGTCGTTTTAGATAAATACATTTTTTTTAACCTTGCTGAAGTCGATAACTGTCCGTTTGTAAAAATATAGTGATTTGTATAACGTTACTATTACTGAATTTTATTTCCTTTAAAATCATGACGGCAAATCGTAAATAACCAGATCCACACTAAACAATACATAGTACTTCATTCCCGCGCTCGCACTCCCCGCAGGAGAGATTGGTGTGAATACGACTAATGGATTTCAAAATGGATAAAACTTTTTTCAAATATATTTCATCTGTTATAGGTGACAGAAAAGAATGACAAAGTGGAATCAACACCATCATTGATAAACAAATCCTGTTATGAAGAGGGATGGCTATTCAGAGTACGGCTAAGTAATCCCGGAGAGTTGCAGCGGCTGATGGATCAGAACAGCTACGATCAGTACCTAAAGGACTCACATTGACAACAAATCTACATTCCTAATTATAAGATAATTTAATTCAGTGTTATATTTTACCATGCCTTTACCATCATCATGTTTCGATAAGATTGTATAAATCTCAGGATTTTTTTTAATAATCTAGCGAGACATTTTTAAGCAATAATGTAAATAGACATGGATAGGAAATTATTAAATATTAACATTATAATAATAATGAAGGATTTACTTTTGATATGAGCTATGATTATAAGTGTTATATGCCTGTATTAATCAAAGGGTACACGGGGTCAGTAACCGGTACCGAAACCGAGGCAAGCCCTAGCGAATACTAAGAGGGGCATACTTGTATATAGAATAATTAACCCATAAAAAAGTTGTACAATTCTTTGCACTACTAAAACGTCTATTACAAACGTGCAAGAAATTGTCGTGTGAACAGGAATCGTTTGCTCCTACAACGTAATCAATCAGTATGGTGCTATTACATGCCATATAGAGGGAGTAACTACTTTTGAAACCCTTTTATGTTAATTTATAGATATAATACGCAGTTCTTCAAATGAGTTCCTAAGTATTTCTTTTATAACTGATTTTTTCGAATAAAAGACGAAGTCCAACACTGAACGAGTTTACATTTATTAACAAAACATTCATAAATACAACAATAATTAGTTATAAATAGAAAAGGACTATTTGCACAGCATAGTTGTAGTATTGTGAAGTTCAATGGATAATAAATACTTGAAAATATAAAATGATCTAAACCAAGTAAGCTGACTTTGATGATGAGCTAGATATATATACATTACATAACAATTTAATCCAACAAGCGTTTTTCGTTAACTCACATTTAGGACTATGTAGAATTCACATAATAGTTAGAAAAAAGATTCGCGGCATCAAGGAAATCAGAACCTACGGGACTTATTATGGACTTATTACGTTAGAAATGAGCAAATAACTTTTATTGTTTTAACCCAAACTGAAAATTGAAGATGAATTTTGAGAAGCTGATCTTATCTGGTTTTGAGCTCACTATTTCGCATTTCTGTTTCCGTTTGTTGATTTATTTAAGAGCTGCAGCTCCCGAAATGATCTCTATAAGTTCTCTAGTGATGACGGCCTGTCTTGTACGATTGAATAGTAATGTTAGTTTGCGGATCATTTCAGCAGCATTTTTGGTAGCATTGTCCATGGCTGCCATTCGTGCAGATTGTTCTGAAGCTGCACTCTCTTTCATGGTGTAGTAAAGAAGCGCCGCCACCGTCCACTCTGCGTAGCACTCGAGTTGGTCGTCATCCACATCATCAAATGCGTTCATGTTAGGAGCGGACTGTTAATATAAAAACATTCATGTAAATACTCTATGTTAAACACCTCTTTGTTTCGGAAGACAAATTAAGTCGTTGTTCCAGACTGCTTATGTATCTTGAACACCCACCAATTCGTATTGGACCCTACTGTTGGGTTGGGGCCCATTCTACCTACGTGAGTTTCTTTGTTTTTAATGTGTGTGAGTCACATCGGCTGATAACGTTGATGAATTAGAAGAAGCAGTAAATTAATAGCGTAAATAAATATACTGAACAAATAATATTCAATGACAGGGTCTAACCCTGTCAATATAAAATGATCTAAAGCAAGTAAGCCCTAGGTAGAGGGTATTGGAATGGTCACGAAAATTCTTAACCGTAAAAATTTAGGCCTTTTATACCTCCGTTTTCGTTCCCAAATATACGCAAACAAACACGTATCGAGAATAAAGACGCGTTTGATTTTATACATTTTAATCAAAGAAAAATAATATGTAGTTATAATAAGCAGGTCCGCGGTCCGCGGCGCTTATCCACTACGCCACCGAGTAGCTTGGTGGCGTATGGGTCACCAAAAAAAAATATCTCGAGCTACTCCGTGCTTCGGAAGCCACGTTAAGCCGTTGGTCCCGGCTGCATTTGCAGTCATTAATACCCTCCAATCCGCATTGGGCCAGCGTGGAGGGTCATGGCCCATCCTCCTTAACCATCCATAAGGAAGGCCTGAGCCCCTGCAGTGGGGACGTAAAAGGGCTGGTGAGTTATAATAAAATCTTTTGATCATTTTAGATTATATTAGTTTTTCTGATTTGTTGTGCGTAGTGTGCCATGGGTCCATTCAAACCAATATAAATTGATCTTTAATAAAAGTTTAACTTTTTGAGTAAAATATGCCTACAATTTCCTAAAACTACAATTATTTCACAGACCTCGATGATATAATCACAGCACATTAAATAATTTGTCACATTTCTATTCGATTTCAAAAACTTTTTTATCATCCATGGCTTCAGTAATATTATAAAAACTTATTATAAGTCTTTCTTTTACAAAATTTCTTCCTCGGTAACTTTCTTATTTCAAACGGCAATCTATTAAAAAACTTTATACCTATAAATGTAAAACTTTTTGATGTTTTTCAGAGAGTCTTGGGTATGACTATTTTTATTTCTTATATTATACGAATGCATGCTTTTTCAAAGCCAAAATATTACTATTGTCAAAATATAAACAATACATTGATATATGTATAAACTCTCCAGTAACAGTCTAAATTCCAAGTTCTCTAATTTTATCAGTACATTTTAGTGTCACTAAGCAAGTTTCCCAAGGGTCGATTACGGGATGACTGATCAAAAAATTATTATCTCGAGCAACTCATGCTTCGGAAGGCACGTCCCGGCTGCATTTGTAGTCGTTATAATACCCTCCAATTCGCATAGGGACATCGTGGATAACAGGTGTATTGATATGGAGTTATTTTATTGAGCATATTGGTACATTGTTACCGAATATTCGTATGGAAACGGTTTTAAAGATTGTACTATATTAGGCTTGGATTGTACTATTAACGATGTCGAATTTATTTTTTTTATGTTTACCTAAACGACGAGTGTCTATGTTCCACGTTTAAAACATTCGTAATTGGCAACATACATCACTTACAATAAAAAGAAATTAAAAGCAGTATGTAAATACAACAGTAAAATAAAATTGGAAACAACTTATTTGGTTGTCTCATTATTAAATATATATCTTCTCAAATATCTCTTTGTATATTTGCATATTCTCGATATTCTAAATTATACTTAATATAGATTAATAAATTATATAATTATTCGTATCTTTCGAATAAATTTTATTAAAATGAATCGTTCATTTTTAAAATACTTGCGGCAATGGGAGATGCTCAAACGTAGTGTTTATACTCGGTGGATCAGAACGACCGACCCTCCCAAGGTTCCTGGAGAGTTCCCGGAGATATTAAATTTCAAAGTTTTTGGAAAAAAATACTGTTTTCAACCCTGAGTCAACTGATTTTGGGTCGTACTAAGGAAAAGTTTTTAATCGGTCATTGACTTTTTCATGTCTAAAAACGAAATAAATTAGTTTGTAATTTAACACATTCACTGCGGCTGCGCTAGATTAAAACTTACTTCCAGTGCTGTACAAGTCACATACTTCCCGTATCAAGAATGCCTGATATGCGTTACGACGTCTATTTTCCCGTACGTAGTCCTGACTTCAAACCTCCACAGAGACATGGAAAGTCCACAGCTGATATTTTTTAATGTACCAACACATAGGTTACATCCTTGTGTATACAGGTCTGCAGTCGCACGGAGTTCTAAGTAATATCTTAAAAGTTACAGGTATTTTTGGAAATGGTTGATTTTACGGGAAAATACTTGCCGTGGCGCATACAACAGTCATATTGCTAGGGATGGGGTGTAATAAGTAAAATATATTTTTTTGTTTCAGATTTATTTTTGTTTATTCAAGTCTTGCATATTCAACAAAAACTATTTTTAACAACAATAATAAGTATTTAACTATGTTAATGTTAACTTAAAAAAATCAGTAAATTCTTATTTTATATTATTATTTATTTTAGGTACTTAAAAAAGCTAAATTATAAAAAAAATGTCCCTGATTTATTTATCACAATCATTTATTTTACTCGATACTTTAATCAACAGAAAAAATAACTTAAAAACGTAACAGTACAGGTTCCATAACTTGAAATGATATAAACTTTAATATTTTTTACATAACAACCTGCATTATCACGACTAATAGGAACTTTGAGTATAATTTGAGATCTAATTCAATTATGAATATAATTTTTTACTTAAGCCTAAAAGCATAGTGGTAGGAATGCTTAAAATATTTATGAATAAAAAATATAACGTTTCTAAAAAAAATATCTTAAAAAGTTTTCTACATAACAAAAGATATCGTAATTATTTATTTGATACAAGAATCAACAGAAAAATTGTAACTTAAAAAAATACAGGTGCTACCACATTAATAGGAACTTTGGGCATTATGAAATCAAAAGTAAGATTTTTTTCTTAAGTATCATGCACTTTATTGTAACATTCTAAACACATTCTTTACAAAACGTACGCACTTTTTTAACCTTCTTATTCGTTTCACGACTGCTAAACATTTTCCTCAAATCTTTGTAGCAAATATGACATTTTTTAAATTTATCTGCTTTAATCAAGGTGTGGATTATTCGTTGTTTTTGTCCACTGGTATTTGGATCGGTGAAAGATGTCTTAGTCATGGATTCAATCATGGAATAAAATATTGCGTTCTGTAAAAACGTATTAACTGGGCACAGCACTACGACTAACTGAGGCTCCGGTTCAGTGCGGTACGGGGTTAAGGATACGGCCAAATAGTTCCCGTATCGCACTATTGTAAAATAATTACCTTTCTGTGCGTTACGAAAAAATAATTCCCGTACATTTTTATTCGTAAATTTTATACACTTCAAGCAAAGACACCGGCAATATAGGTGTCTCTTTTTTACTTGTACGAATACTTGAAGAAATAACCCTCGCACGGAGTGTAAAACAAGGACAACTAGCTGCCGCACAGAGCAGAACTCAATTACGACTAAATACTTCCCGTAACGCAGTGAATGTGTTAAAAGACCACTTTCATGCAAATAATACCAGACAATCAATAAACAAGACAGTCAAAATACTTAAATCGATTTACAGACTAACAGCCGGTTTCTGATTTAAAAAAAGTAGATAATCTCTACTGCTTATTCTAAATAACCTAAGTTTTTTTAATTTCACAAGTCAAATAGTCCTGGTTTTATCAAACTGCTATCAATTGATCATCAAAAAACTAAAATTGGAAACGAAAACTAAGTGATGTTAGTTTGAGACGTTTAACTTTAAATTCTTAATACAGAAACCGAGTGTAAAATTTTCTAAATTATTGTAGAGAGTTCAGTCTAACATTAACCTACGTTATTTTAAAAGAGCAGTTCTCCAAAAAAACGTTTGAATGGGTAATACTCCTTTAACAACGGGATCGTTAATTAAACTCGATAAACTCACAAATCTTTGAGCGATTCATCACTAACACAAATGTACTTTGTTTTAAAAACATTGAGGAATTTGTTATTAAAATAGTATTTAAGTAATTGCATTTAAAAAGAACATTATAAAATGCATAATATCAAAAGACGAATTAAAAAAAGGCGAACCGAGTTCGACCCTGGATAAAAGCCCCACCCGCCCGACAACCGCCACCCCGCTTCATTGTTCTGTCGGGGGTTCCCGTAACTCAGGCGCATAAAATAATAATACAACTCCTAACGGAAGCTCAGTCGCCGCCGACCGTTTGCGCTGGAGTGTTGTTGCGCATCGCCGCCGACGCACCGCTGCGAAGCGCCTTTTTTGTCGATTTTTGTTTTGTTCTAGTGCATTTTTAATTGAATTTTTGTTAATAAGATACTACAGTGTTCGTCTTGAGTGTTAAGTGTAGTTAAGTAAAGATTGTGTTTAGCTTTCTTTGAAATGTGATGTGTTTTGCGCATGCATGCACCGGCACGCCAAAGAGCGTGCTTAGCTCAGTCTTCAGAGAGGCAATAGACATTTTCAGCATCGACTATCATCAAGATATCGGTAAATAAATAAATTAAATTAATGTATTTCGCGGTCCATTGTTATCTGTGCACAATCGTATTGCGCATGCGCGTTATAGGGCTCTCAACACATAGAAATTAAAAAAAATTTACTCCATTTTTACACCTTCTTTATTTTCAAATATTTGTCAAATAAAATGATGTTTGCATGTAACCTGACTTGAAACTTTCGGCTGTATCGGTCATTTTGTGGCTCCCGGTATTGTTTTTGGGTGCACATATAATTTGTTTGTTTTTTTTTTATAATGCGCCTGTTTTCGCAAGTGAACCATAAAAGCAGCTATATCGGATTTCTACATCGGTTACATGTCAGGCTACCACAATATGTCAAATTCCCTCAATGGATTTTTTATTCTACTTAGAATGTATAAAGGTTTAAAATGAAGAGGAGAAATTTGACAGTTTTGTACAGCTTGACATGCTGTAAACTGTACATCGCATTATTCCAAAGGCCTAAACTTACTAATCAATTTTGAATTTGATGGAACAAATTTGGTCTTTTGTCAAGGCCTAAACTTACTAATCAATATTTAAATAATTGCATTTTTTGTCAAAGAATAACTAGATTCCATCAAAGCTTTTTCTGGTAGCTACTGTTACTACTACAAAGACCCTAATTTTGTCGAATCTTAAAAAGCGAATCTGGATATCTTAATTTCATTTATTTATTTCAAACTTATATAACAATAACAAATAACATTATCGTTTATTTCCCGAGATTTCTTGTGAAGGATTTGTCTACGATTGTTGACGACAGCTTTGTCAGCTTCTTTTGATAAATGTTTTGTCACTTCTTTTTTTATTGCTATTGCTGTCCGTCTCCTGTATCTTGTGTTTTTTACACATTTTTAAATTACATCTTTTTCTCGCTAATTTATCGTTTATCTACAGGGAGCAACAAAATGACCGACACAGCCGAAAGTTTCAAGTTAGGTTATATGCAAACGTTCATTTTATTGTACAATTATTTCAAAATAGAGGAGGTGTAAAATTGGAGTAAAAATTTGAAATTTCTAAGTGTTGAGAGCCCTATAACGCGCATGCGCAATATCGATTGTGCGCAGATAACAACGGACCGCGAAATACATTAATTTAATTTAATTATTTACCTATATCTTAATGTTAGTCGATGCAGAAAATATCCAATTCTTCTCTGAAGACAGCTAAGCACGCTCTTTTGCATGCCAGTGCATGCACGCGCAAAACACATCACATTTTACACAATCTTCACTAAAGTAACCTTAACACTCAAGACGAACACTTTAGTACTTATTAACAAAAAAAATATTAAAAATGCACTAGAACAAAACAAAAATCGACAGAAAGTCGCTCCGAAGCGGTAAGGTGGCAGTGATGCAATAACGTGCCTCACGCGCAAATGTCCGGCGGTGACTGAAACAAAGGCGCCGACGCGACGCCGATGGAACAAAAAAGCCGTGCGCACAGTGAGTGAATGGAGTGAAGGAGACAGGTTCGCTTTGCCTTTGTTAACTAGGGACGAATTCAGTTTATCTATGTATTTATTGAATTCGTATTTTGTTACCACGCAATTGTTTTTGAATTTTCTTTTTAAGTACATTTTAAATAAGTAACCAAACCCTTACTTTGTGTTGTTATGTTAATGGATGATGTATTAGTTTAACTACTTTAATAAATGATCGTGTTATTTGATCCATTTAGTTACATTTTTTGGAAAGTCTGACTATTAGAAATAATGTAGTAACGTAATGTAAATTAGTTAACATTAGAATAATCTTTTTACAATGATTTATTAAATGTTGGTCTATTAATTAATTTTAGCATTTTGACTCCTTCGTTTAGAGATAGTCAGTTTGAAATTGTTAAAAAACAGTTAACTAACATTACTATGTTTTCGTTTGCAATTTTAGTTTTTTGATGATCAGTTGATAGCAGTTTGATAAAACTAGGACTATTGAGAATAATCAGTAGAGATTTTCTACTTTTTTCAAATCAGAAACAGGCTGTTAGTCTGTTAATCGATTTAAGCATTTTGACTGCCTTGTTTAGTGATTGTCTGGTAGAATTTGCATGAAAGCGATCTCAAAAATCATCAAGTAGTTTATTTCGTTTTAAGAAATGAAGAAGTCAATGACCGATTAAAAACTTGTTCCTTAGTACGTCACAAAAACAGCTGACTCAGGGTTGAAAACACTCATTTTTTTCCAAAAACTTTGAAATTTAATATCTCCGAAACTATTTGACCTCGACATTTTTTTTTTTTTTTACATCATATTAAAAACAAATAGTACTCTCCAGGAACCTCGGGAGTGTCGGACGTTCTGTTCCACCGAGTATATTAATACTACAGTCTACGCTTCTGCTGTTGATAACAAGGATATTTGCCCAATGATAAAACCAGACGAAAGAACCGTTACCGAAGGTGGGATATATTGTTGACTGACTAGTTGTACTGTGTAGACACGCAAAATATGAGCAATGAAAAAGCTCCGGTGGTGCTGAAGCGGATAGTGGACGGAGTGTGAAAGATGTGGAAAATCCGTTGCGTGTCGTGCGGTCGGTGCGTGCGTGCTGATAAAATAAACTTTTTCGACGGTGATAATAATAAGTAATCATTTAAGATGAAATATAGGTTTGTTTGTTTTACATGTAAAAAAAAAATTGAGTTTGAGAACGTATCCAGACCTACCCTATAGTGTGAATCGATACTCATTGGCCGATTCTGATGAAATTTGATAGAGATGATGGTTGGTACGAATCGGATATCCATTTCGTTACCTTATTTATATAAGTTAATTTTTTTGTGTACCTCAATCGTCGCCTTGTTAAATACGGGTATGGTAGTGAGCTCATACTTGACAGGACTGAAGTACTTGTTGTAGTATATTTCACCGAACTCGTATATGTAGCCAGACTCGGCAATGGCTGCCGCTATAGTCGCCGCGTCCGCGAATACTGGTGCTATCCGACCAATCTGCAAAACAACGGAGAAAATTATTCTTATATATGTATAATCTTACGGGTTGTTGCCTTTATATACGACATTTTGTACCTAGCGATATTCATCGTAATTTTTTTTTCAGGCGATAGATAAATTGTTATATATTTATCATTCATGATATTTATATAAAAATGTCAGTCTACAAAACCTTTGAAGAAGTAGTTACCTATATAGGGAGATTTTTTTAAAGAAATACGACAGTAAAAATATATACTTCTTTGCATGGATATGCAAAGAATGGTGCCTTTACTCATTAGTGTTGCACATAGCTCGGCTTACCCCCCTTCGATAGGGCCCGATCATGAATTCTAGTGATCGTCAGCTACGGCTCCGAGGGTGGGTTAAGTTTCCCATTTAAAAATAAATCTAAATTGTGATAGTCTACGTGATGTATTCCTTCTATTTTATATAATCGGGCAATACTGGCAAAACTACCTCTATATGCATCTAGGCTCAATGCTCTTTCCGAAATTACTTTTTTTTGGTGTTCTGTTTTGCACATTTAACAAAATAAACAATTAAGCGTAAAAGTGTTTATTTTAAAGTCCTTGGAAGGTCCAGGACTTCATTATTTACTTACATCCTTAACACTGACGAGCATGTTAGGTGCAAACAGGCGACGTAGCATAGTACGGGACTTGTCACCGATGCACACTACCTTGCTGGTAGGACCCTCCGCCTTGCGAGCAGTCATCTCGCGACGGATACGACGCGCCACACCACTGTGCACGCCTCCACATAGTCCTGTACGAGTAGCATGAGTTACTCGAGAGATTAGAGAAATGGGTGAGAGCGAGACCGAGAGGGAGATATTGTATTATCATATCTCACACTCGAACCGTGTACGACTCTAAACCATTTATTGAATTCTTCTTGCTATGCATTTTGCACGCTTAGCATGACGAACTCGAGATACATAGGTATTGTCTCCATAGTCACAGTATGTTAGCCACATAATATCACATATCATATCACATATACATATTATATTAGTGTTATTTGTAAGTACCTATTCTGCTGGTATTACTGAGCATTTACATAGCTAAAATCGAGTACTTGAAATTAATTTCATGTCGATGAAAGATACATTATAAGGGTTTCATAAAATGTAAACAAATAAAAAGAAGATAAAGTATGAGGTCAATAGCTATCCATCTCCGTCAAGGTTGCTGTTATCCTGACAGGACCTTGGAAACTATAAATAAGTATTATGAGCAATTCAAGAGAAAATAGGAAAAATATCAATAACGTTATTAGTACTTATTTTTATTTTATAGTGAAACTTCCCAAAAATATTATAGCTATGTTCTAGCTTTGTTTTTTTGAACAAGTTTTATTCTGACCTCGGCACCAGACTGGTATTTATTTGACCACATAAGCGTTCACACGAAGTGAAGTATTCATTTATGTGGTGAGCCCATGCCAAGTGATCGAAAACGAATATGTCTATATTTTTTAAAATCAATTTGAGAATGTGATAAATATTAGTAAAACGTATTTTATTTTTCATAATTTGCTCGACACTGAGTACATTAATTAAAAATCTCCCAAGTAGTTTTTAAAACGATTTTATGTGACCAATATTCTTCATTAATAGTAAAAAACTAAATATCCCTAGAATCTTACTCACGAGGAGGATCTGTGCACCAGTAGGAAGGACACATTAAAAGAGAGCGATTGAGACATTACACAATTTTTTTTTCATCGTGAAAATCTGCGGTTGGTAATAAGGTTCGCGAATATTCTAATTATAGATACGGTCATCAGTGAGGTAGAGATCACAACAGAAGTATGATAGAAGCTTGTAGACAAGCAGGAATTACGGCATAAAAGCTAACCTACTAATTCCGGTTTCACTGTATTCACCGTTCCCTACCTGCGAATCAACCGTAGGGTTTTACGGCGATAAACACGTGTGTATATGTGCCCTTGCCATTTTTCAATACCTGAATAACTAGTTGTTTACCCGCAACTCCGAGTAAATTATAGCTTTTGTCACCCGCGTAGGATATAGCTTCATGTAGGCGAAAGAATGTTTATGATTGGATCAGTATTTTTCGAAAAATACTCCCTTGAAACTAATAAAAACAGGTCAAGTGTGGGTTGAGCTCGCGAACGAGCGGTTCCGTACATTATCCATTAAATAATTAAAAGGAAAACAAAAAACCCGACTGTCTAAAAACGAATTTTAAAAAATACATGAAAAAAATTACTTATATAAAAACTAAAAAGAAAGAAACAGGGCCTGTTGTTTAGAATTCTGTTAAGTTATACCAAATAACTACACAATTGAAATATTTTTATAATCGATACACACATAAATCAAATGATAAATTCTAATGCAGAACAGAACGACTCATAGTCGGGGCCTATTCAAATTTTACCAATCAAAACTTCCCAAGGTGCCCCGACTGAACTATTTAAAATAAAAAATGATAAAAGGAAACTAAATATGATTTTAAAATACCTATAACAGAAAAACACTGAATAAAGAAAATAATATATATATTTGAGACGTTATTGATATTAAGTCTATCTGTCATCTGTCGTCAGTCTAATCCTTGCCTATTGTTGTCTTTAATAAGGCCAGCACGTCTGTAAGTAAGAAGTTTACGATAATACCTATTCAACCACTTGACATAGCTCATCGATTTTTTTTTTCATTTTGACAATATGGCGTCTGGTTGTCGCTGTGGTTAATTTTGATTACTACTGTCATGTCAAGACGAAAAAAAAAATTTTGCCCACCTTACCCTATTTTTTTTCCAAATTTTTCTTTACCACTTTGTCGGCGTAATTGCCAAATTACAATTTTCTAAACTGGCGGCACGCTATGATGGCCGTTTACACATATTACAATAGTGATGTGGAATGTCAATTTATTCTCGAACAAAAAAACAAATAAGTTTTGTTTTTGTACCTGATTAAATAGGTTTAATAAAACAAAAATGTAAATGTTTATTTAATATATTTGAACGAACTGAATATTTGAATGAAAATGAATATACATACTTTATATGCACACAAGAAACATATGAATACAAAAGATACCAAAAAAAGTGCCACAAAAGGCCATATTTAATCAGATTCGTCCATACTACTATTTTCACTGTCGTCACTGCTATCATCACCTACATTAATTATAAGTTCGTTTTCTATAATATTATCTATTTTCACATCTCTTTCATAATCTTCCCTTATTAATTTAACAGTTCTATTCACAACCTTTTCCCAGTCTCCTTTAGTCACATGTTCACAAGCTTCTTCTAATAATTTTAGCATTTTTTTGTGGTAAATGGGGGTTCTGTATTGTGTCTTGCAGCATATCCCTTAATTTGAGCCCACACCAACTCAATCGCATTATACTCACAATGGTAAGGCGGTAACCGTATAACTCTGTGCCCATGTTCTAATGCTATTTCGTCAATGACGTATCGGATCTTGGTTGGTTTGTTTTCTTTTAAAAGACGTACTAATTCCGCTTTTAACATATTCATGTTTGCATCTACGCCATTTTTACGAAGCCATGCGACGATGTCAGCTTTCTTTTGGGATTGGGCAGGTGGCTTGTCAATTTGCATCGAGTGGTATGGGGCGTTGTCCATAATTATAATAGATGGTCCAGGGAGGCTACACAACATTGAGGTAAACCATTCAGTAAACTTTTCTCCATTCATGTCTTCATGATAGTCTCCAGTGGTTTTTGACGCAAAAGCCATGAGAGAACCTTCGACAAACCCGTTGATGGTTCCGGCGTGACAAATTATAAGTCGCGATCCTTTTCCAACAGGAACTTTGGACGTAGATGCTGCTGTGTCATCGGTCCAAGAACGGCCTACAGTATGGTTAGCATTAAGCCATGTTTCATCCAAGAACACAACATTTTGCCAATTTTTGATTTCTTTCACTTGCCGTAAAAAAGTATACCTTGCCATCGCTATATCAAATCTTTCCATCAATATTTTGCGTTTGTTACATTTTTTGTATTGATATCCTATGGTCTTCAAAATCTTCGTTAAAGAACTTTCCCCACCGAAGAATAATCCAGCTTCCTTCAGTGAATGCATCAACATTTTTCTTGGTGGATACTTGTTCCGTAAATAGTAGCCGTAAACATGTCTTCGGATAGCATCGGCATCAAAGCTATCGATGCCTACGACTGGTTTTGCTCGTTTTCTCTTTTTAGGTGTGTGACAGACTCGCTATATTTTTCTTTAGTTATTCGTCTAACAGTTCGTTGTCCAATATTAAGCGCATCAGCTACGCGTTCAACCACTGACGTTATAGCTAAAATTGGCCCTCCATTTTGAGATTCACGATCAAAATAGTTCCGAAGGCGTATTACGAACTCACGTGTCTGACTATTTAAAACAGTTTTCTGCGTACGTTCGGTCATATAGACGAAATCCACAACAAAGGGCTTGAACAGAGTCCAAATTAACGAGCAAGGGTCAACAGTAATGCAATATCAATATTTGAAATCCAAAGCCAGGTCAAAACTATATCACAATCGCATTGCACTGACAGTTTATACTTTTCGAAGCAACGTCAATTCGAAACTGCTTTGTTTTGCATTGAGCATTGACGCGAGTTTGCCGGAGGTAATAGTTGTGCTAGCCAGCGATCCTATGTGACGATCGTATTAGATTCCATTTTTAAAAATTTTCAATTTAGAAAACCAAATGCCGAGTTGTGGTATAAATAAGTACACCAATCATATATCATATAAAAATAAAAATTTTACCTTTTGTATGAAACAGCTGATATTTTTTGCGATTTCAGAGGTAGCCACATAGTGAAAATTGTTCATATTCACAAGTACATTCACCCCTTAAATGGTGCAAACTGATTTTTCTACACTTGTATACATTTTAGAAATCAATTTAATAAATTAATTTTTGGTTCCTAAAACTACATTCGATAAAACTTATGAATCTCTGCACATCACTATCGTCAATAAAGTAATGCAATTATTTCCTTCAAAGTCGTTATCAATTAATACGGAACTTCATGAGCGGACAAACGTCAAAACGGCCATCATAGCGTGCCGCCAGTTTAGTTACAATAGTTGCATGCTTAACCACAGACGGACATGGTAAAACTATAACGGTTCTTGTTTATTATGAAACCCTAAAAAATCTTTGTTTTTAAATATACAAATATTTTTTTTTACGCATACCCACTAATTTTATTATATTGGTATCATACTAAATTTCATACTTATAGAACTAATCCATACCGACTTGCATCGGAACATGTCTCCAATAACAATTACTATAGTAGGCACGCGGAAGCTCACGTTTATAATTAAGTACTATTAATTTTATTCTTGACCTTAAGATGACTATATAAATAGCGACAAAACTCCCTGCCTTTTTAACAACTGTCATTTGTGATACGTTCACAACTCTACAATCTCTCCTCTTCTTTAAAATAACAAGTTAGGCAAAGTTAAGAAAATATATATAAATATCACAGAAGCTTTAAACAGAAAACAAACAGTATCATATCGAAATAATGTTTTACAATGTAGAACCCAATAGTTACATGTTAGTAACCCTACTGTAACAAATAATGTCTTAACCTTAGATTATCTATATCTTAACATACTCGTATTAAACTCAAAATTAAATAATTAAATATATTTTTGAAATCAATATTTTTACACAAAGGAGCAGCCGATATTTACTATAT